TAGGACATTTGCCCCCAAGTTGAACCCAGACATTTCCATGCACAGAAGGGACTGGAAACTTACTGTTCAAAAGTTGAAGTTATTTTTAAAAATTATTTTCACTACTAACTGGGAACAAAGATTCATAGTAAGTTACGGCAACATTGGTCTGTGCCATACGCCTGTCAGCCTGTGGACATGCTGTTTCCCATGTTCAGCCCGGCTTCATCACACGTCTGTGATCAGTAACTGCTGAAGTCAGATTGCTGATGGCATCAGCTACTCTCCCTTTGGAGGACATTTCTCTTCTCTTCTCCGTTCTTCTGTTTTTAGCTTAAACTACTCAAATGTTTGAAACTTCTGTTTGGATGAGATCACTGTCCACAACTGACCAACATGGTACATGCTGAGCAGTGGTACCTCTGAATGTTCACTTTATTAGTCATGGATATTTTAAATGCTACTATTTGATGAATGTAAGTTTCCACATTGTTGCTATTTCTGAATTTAAACTTCATTGAGAACACTGACATTTATCTATATAGTCAACTGCCAGGGCCTTAGAGACTAATAACATGTCCATTTCTGTTCAGGTACAGCTTTTTATAGCAAGGGCTGCATCTAGCTTCTTCACTAGAGAAAAGTGTGTGTTAAATTCTTTACTAATGTGTAATTGGTTTACACTGTTTTGTATAGTGAAAGTGTATTTTCAGTGCTACTGCTAGCTAATTTGATCTTTAGGAATAAAATTAGATTTTCAAAAATGCTTTTCTTTACATTGTCCTAGTTAGTGTCTAATTCACTTGGGTATAGTGTGAATGGGTGTCCACACCAAGGTATGTGCCCTTGACCGAATCAAAATGGGACCTTTTGGTCTGTAGGCCAACGTTCTATCCACTGAGCCAAACTGGCTAGAGCTGTAGCTCCCTTCTTCATAAGAGCCCAGGGTTGGTATCGGCTGCGGTTCACACTAACCAGCATGAGCAGGTCATTGCCTCCCTACAGAAGGCACCTGCTGAAGCTTTAGGAGCACTTATCTTGCCTTACTTATTGTAAGACAGTGAGCTCCAGAAATTCAGCCCTCCCCACGAATTGGGAAGTCTTCAAATCCAGACCAGCCCTCAATAGCAAGCACATTTAGAAGCTGAGCAGTATGTGCTGGTTTGTCTAAGGTTAAATTAGAAAAGTGAGATTTATTTGCACATAGTCTCAGCTTAAAACAACTTACTTAATGATTTCCTCTTGGGTTTATATAAGTTTCAAGTGCTTGTTTTAGCAAAAGGATAAAAACTTAATGGAGGATCTTTTTAAGTAGTGTTTCAAAGTCACCTTGGTTTAGTGAGAAGCCAACAAATTTTTAGCCTAACAGGCTTGACACTTAGAATAACTGAATTACAAGGTACCAACTTATTTGGCAAAAAGCAAACATTTCTCTCTGAAGTCTGCATTTTATAGCTGGCATACCATGCCTCTTGAAGTTAATTTTTTTGAATACATAATATATCATATGGATAAAATTCTTGAAGTCCAAAACAGAATACAATGACATTTCCTTGTCCCTGTCCTCACAATATAAAAGGATGGCACTTGATGCTTTAGAGGAGTCACGGTGTCTTCCTTTGTAAACAAGGTTTCCTAGAGGAAGGAGGGATGGAGCCTCTCCTTCCTGAGTTCTTAGCTGTGATCTCACACAGGAAGCACCACCTCTGGTTTATGTTACTTTCATTACATCATCAGATAATGTATGGGCTCAGAGCAGCTGTTTGCAAGCATTTAGCTCAGCTTGGCCTTATCTAAAGCTCATTTTTTAAATGACAGGTCTGTACTGAGACTGGGTGCTGGGGTAAAACCTCAGCTAGATTTTTCAATATACTGGGGAGGGCAATCACCTGTTAAAACCACTATGGCGACCTATCTCAAGCCTGGTGAGACGCTGTCTTGGCTTTATGTCCCTATGGTAGCTACGGATTCCCAGCTCTGGAACCTCCTCTCAGCAAGCCTGGATGCTCCCAGAAACGTTATAGGACAGTCAGGGGCCTCTAACACAGGTCTGTTTACCTGAAAACCATGATGTTCCTTAAAACAATTCCCCAGGAAGAGGATGCCTCTATTGGACATCAGGGGAACTGACCCAGGGGTTCAGAGAACTCAGGCTGTCAAGAAAACCAAAACTTGACCTCCAGTGGGGGTGCTCCATGAGGAACCGTCAGGCTTGCAAGGGTAAGCCATGTTTTATAAATAAACCATAGAGTAACTGTTAAACTAATCTTCTGTTAAATGCATCTCCCAAATTAAATTCTGGGGTGCAACGGCTTCAGATGTCTCCAATCTAAGTCAGAAAGAATCTATGGATTTAAATTAACAGAAGGCACAACCTAGATGGGATCTACAATCATTTTGCCATGACAAACAGAAAGATAAAGGGAGGGGCCAGCAATATGAAAACTACCGTTAGCAGAAAAGGCTTGTCCCACGAGACCCAAGTTTTATGTTGCTACTGATTATGGAGGCAGGAAGTGGGGTTATCTTCTCCATTTTCAGATTCACTAGAGCATTTCTTTCTGTATTTGAGTACAAGGTTGCAAGGCTCTGCCGTTAGATCTAAAATTACTTCTCACTAGTTTCTGCATCCGCCACCTGGGGAAGTTACCTCATAACCAAGCCTCTCCAGCTACCCTGGCCCAAGGCTACTAAAGCACAGGATGTAGCCTTGAGTTGCCTCTAATGGGAGGTTGAGAAAATGGACTCTATACACCCCCACCTTTGGCAGTAAAAATACCAAGTGGACATTGTGTAGCATAGTTCTTTCCCACTACCTTTATTAGCCATAAACAGTAAGATCTCTCTCTAAAGATGAGGAAAGCCGGCTGGTGTGCCTCAGTGCTTGAGCGCTGACCTATGTACGAAATAGGAGGTCTCGCCCACGGCACATATGCCTGGGTTTCGGGCTCGATCCCCAGTAGGGGGGTGTGCATGAGGCAATGATTCTCTATCATCATTAATGTCTCTGTCTCTCTTTCTCTCTTTCCTTCTCCTAAGGGACTACAGCAATTCTCAGATGAATAAGAAATTACAGCTTGTTTGGCTTCAAAACAATATATACTAGTGTTGAGATTAGTGCCCCTAGACTTTCTAATCAAATGTCTAGTCCACTCCTAGAACAGAAACCCTCAAAGTCCAAGAATGGGGTTTTTTTTGTACAATTGTTTATACAAATCCAACAAAGGTAAAACTGAGTCGGGAAGGTCTAGGAAAACACCGCCAAACAACAATGGCACTTATGAATGCATATCTTTACAACTGGGACATAGCCATGTGATAAACCGGAAACGAGAACTCTGCTCACACCTCAAAGGAGAGAGAAAAGGAAAAGAAAGGCTACGTTGGGTCATTTACTCTACTTGGCTCACCATATAAATTAGATCTATGTAGAGTCCAAGAGCTCATGCTGGAGCAAACCCTCCTGAGTGCAAAGGTTGAAGTTCAATTTTAAAATTTTTGAGAAAAGGGTGAATTCTATACAGGGGAACCTTGGCGAAGTGTCTTATTTCCACTATACTTTACATATATGCACAACATGCTTATGTAATTTCTTAACGTCCAAAGCAGGCTCTCCGCTCCCAGGTAAACATGCTTTTAACCGGAAGGTCTCAGCCTGCTCTGCCAGGTCTGGGCACATGTATAGATGGAGTATTTGTGCTGATGAAGTCCAGGGTAAGTTCTCTCCGACCTCAAGGAAACCAGGAAAGTTGGCAATCATAAAACAATAAAAACACTGATATGCATTCAAACCTTGCATAAATAACTTTTAAACAATTTGTACAAAAATAATTCCTCATAATGTAAGATGTAACAAAAACCAAACAAAATATGTCAAGACGGCAGATGTGTTGTGTGGTCCACTTAATGTTGACACCAAAACCCCGGAGTTGCAAGGAATGAGGTGTCCAGAACAAAACACCACCACAAAACCCCCCCCCCAAAAAAAAAAAAAAAAAAACCCACAAAAATAACCAGATAAACTCCTAAGCTCATGCTTCAGCAAGAGAATTTCTCCAAAGTTCATCCTCCTCTCCAACAGGAATGTCTTCTTGGTAAAGGACGCCTTAGAAATGGTCCAGAAAGCATTGCAGTTACTATTAATAATAACCCAAATGTCCAGCTCACTCATCCCCAAAATGGGTGGTGGAACCGCATTGCCTTGGCAAGACTTGCAAAATGGGATCGCTCCGTAGTCTGTTGTTCCAAGTTCCAAATTGAAAAGAAAAGCCCTAGTTTCTGTAAAGTCTTTTCCCCTCCCCATGGCGCTGCCCCTTTCCCCCACCCACCCTGTATTTACACACTAGTCCTGGACTAACTCAGTTTTTGCAGGAGTTTTTCTTCCACTTGCCCAAACTGGACACTCACAGACATTTCAGCTATGAACTGCTCACAGCCTTCCTTGGTGACTTGCTTGCAGTACCTCAGGTCAATATGACAGATATTTCCACAGCGTTTGAAGAAGGACAGGCATTGGTCAGTGACCTTATTGCAGTCTGCAGGGAAGAGGACACAATGTGAGGTGGAGGGAACGTGGAGCCTGAACACAGGCCCCCAAATCCCAGGCGCTCAGCAACGGAGAAACTGGACTGAGCTCTTGAGCATATTCCAGCCCCTGCAGTAAAGCACATGAGGCCGGCACTGCCTCTATCCTATCAAAGTCCCTGTAGGTAATGCACAGGAGGCCAGCAGTACCCGTCTTACCACCGTCCCTGCAGGTTAGGAGGTGGCGTAAGGAAGTAAAGTGACAGCACCACATGAGTCACCAAAGAACTGACCTCCTTTCAAACCATCAGAGTTGCCCCTTTCAAGCAATCCCCTCAGGTCAACACAACATCTCGCACAGCCGTGCCCAGATGCTTGGATGCGCATTTCAGATAGTGTAAGTATAACCCGATCTCATAAAGGCCATAGGAATTCATGAACTTGGAACCAGCACAATGGAATGCTGTCTGCATCACAGGCGGTGCCACTAATAAATGAAGGCCGGGCAGTTAGATGGGAAAAGTGACGGGGTGGGAGGGTTTTAACACCTCACCTGTTCCAAGGGTACCCCTTAACCTTTCGATCAATCTCTCAAATTCCTCCCCACCAAGTGGCTGACCCTCTTTATAAGCTTGCTGCAAAAACAAGTGATGGAGGATGTGGAATTCTTTCAGAAAAATCATGCCACTGTCCCTCATGTCCCAGCTCCTTAAAAACAAACTCCCTCCCCATCAGCAAGCGCGACAAGATGCCGAACCATAGGGCACTGGAGGTTTCTTCTCTCCAACCACAGGCCCTGTGGCAGCAGGGTCAGGAAGGGTGCATGAAATTGAAGACAACAAGGGCAGAAAGCAAGCTGCTTCCTCCCAGTGAAAGCCTACTGGGCCTGGCCTGGCCTCATTGCCCACTGCTCCCCACCCATCCCACAGCACTCATCCCGCCAGGTGCCAGCCTGTGCCCACTGAGGGAAGCTTCCGTGGGCGCTTGTTTTGGGCCAGGAACCACAGTTCTATGTACTCACAGCTACCAGCATTTCTGGTAGCAATTATTACAACTCTGGTAATAACTTCTGCAGCATGTTTCCCCTCTACCCTGGGCTGTGTATCTGTCTTGATCACTGCTATGTCCTAACACCGAACACTGGGATCCTATAATAATAGCAGGTGCACAAATGTGAAATTCCCAGCTTGTCCCACGGGATTCTGGTCAGTCCCTGATGGGTGTCCCCAACTGACCTGATAAGTTGATTTCTGTTAAGGAGTCCCGGGTGGTGGTGCCCACTGCAGTGAGCAGGTTGATGGACTGGTCAGTAACATGGTTACAGTAACTAAGGTGGAGCTTGGAGAGCAGGGGCATGTGGCGGATGATGAGCCGCAGGGAGGCGTCGGTGATGTCCAGGCCTGCTAGACGCAGCTCCACGATGTTTCGGAGCTTGCTCCGATTGTCCATCTGACCTGAGGGGCAGGGAGGAGAGAGGCATCGATCAACCTGACAGGACACAAAAAGGCCTACCAGCCAGACATCACACTTGGTTTCAGTTCGTCATTGAGTGTTTCCCCCCAAAAGTCAGAATCAGTTCCAATATTGAAGAATCAGAAGATCGGCTGGCCAGTGTGTTTCAGTGGTTAAGTGTCGACCTATGCAGGAGGCAGCCAAACAATGACTCTCTTTCATCATTGATGTTTATATCACTATCTCCCTCTCCCTTCCTCTCTTAAATCAATATTAAAAATATACATCAAATTTCACACACAGATTCTTGAAAGTTCAGAAGACCTAGAAACACAGAGCCCACGCTCCACCCAGCAGTACTGGGCCAAACGGTTTCCTCATTTAAGCTGCTGACGGGGAGCGATGACCCCAGAAACCCGACCTTGGAGAGCTCCACGGGAGCCCCTGTCCAACCACCCTGACCTGATGCTCCAGGGGGCCTGACGCTGAAGCCGGATAAACTAACAGAAGCAGTGGGATTTATGACAGCCCCTGGGTGCTGGAAGCAAACTAAGCACAAAGCAGCCAAACTCCTCCCGGCATCCCCTGGGGACAGGCAGAGGCCAGAGCAGGCTGGAGGACACGCTCACCAGATGGCACCCGTTCTCCATTAAGCATGTAATCGGGGCTTTGCACACCCTCTACACACCGTTGTGGTGAAAATCAGACCCAACAGCGCAGCTTGGTCACACCACCTCCCCACGGCCTTGCCCCCAAGCCTGGCTCCTCACCTGGCCTGTTATCTGTGGGCGGAGACAGGAGATCCCGCATCTGGGCATCCTTTAGCCCTTCTACCCACTGGACATCCAGGGTCCGGAGCAACGGACAACTGGAGGTACAGAGGGCCGAGACCGCGATCCATGAGCAGCCTGACAGCACCAAGTCTCGGAGCCCTGGGGGAACAGAGAAGGGGTCGCAGGTCAGGTGATGCACCAGCCCCCGCACCTGCACATTTGGGGACCCTGGCCCTGCACTCACCTGGCAAACGGTTGATGAGCCAGCTCAGCTGTTTCTTGGAGATATTGGTCCAGCTGAGGTCCAGGGAGACGGGCTGTCGCCGGATGATGCCGCTCAGCATCAGGGGCGTGATGGACCTGCAGTGGTTCAGGTCGATGCGGGTCCATAACCGCTTATCACAGCACCTGGAGGCCAGACCCAGGAGAGGGGGTGCTGTCAGAATTGGGGTCTCACTTGTGGCAACTCCTCACCTTCCAAGCTCAGGGACAGGCTCCTAACTCCACCCTCTGGACCCTTCCGTTTAGGTCCCGTCTGCCTGCACCTGGGCACCTCGGCTGTGCCTGCCTCAGGCCCTCCCTGGAAGGTGCTGGCACCTGTTCTCCATTAAGCACTTAATGGGGGCTTAGCCCACCCTCTACACCAGTGGTTCTCAACCTTGGCTGCACATTAGAATCACCTGGGAATCACAACATTCGTAACAAAGAAACAGAATTTCCAGAGGATGAGACTCAGAAATCAGGATTTTAAAAAGATTCCCAGGTGAGTCTAATGTGCAGCCAAGGTTGAGAACCACTGCTCTACACACCGTTTCTCAAAGCAAGCCTGAGCAGAGTTGTGTACCCTTTCACGATGAACGTAAATAACGTGGCCAGAAAGCTAGGAAATATCGAAGCTGGGATTAAGGTCAGTCACTGGCACCGTTGCCGTTAATAAGCTGGGCTAACACTTCAGGCCAGGGCTCCACCTGGTCTTCAGTTCATCTTCCAAGGAGCTACGTCAGGAAGTCAAATAGGCTTCACCTCTTTTGACAAGTCCAGGCTGACCGGACTGCGGTAGCTGCTGGAACTCTTGGAGGAAGATAATTAAGCTGGACTGGGCTTAGAAGCAGGGCATGACCACGGGCTCAAGGTGGGACCCTACTTCCCACCCACACTCCATCCCTGGTCTAGCCAACCCTTAGCCCAGATCCGGGCACGCGACCAGCCCGCTGCCTCCTCACCAGCGGTTCCAGGTCCTGCAGACCCGCATGCAGACACACAGGTCTTGGTGGCTGAGGTAGCTGAAGACGGCCATCCACACCTCCCTGTGCATGACGTGGGCCGCCCCATCGTCCAGGGGCAGCGAGTCGGGTGGGGGGCTGATGGGCGGCGGCCGGATCACATGTCGCTCCATCTGCATGCACTTGGGCGGGGACACGGAAGGAGGGGGCCGGGAGATGACGCGGGGTGGGCTGCGCAGGCCGGGCCCCAGCTGGTGTCGCAGTTCCCGGGGGGTGCCGTTGAGCCCTTTGCTGAAGCGATGGGGGCGCTCGCAGAGGCCCACGGGCCGCTTGGGCTCCTCGTTCTCACTCTCGGGCTCCGACTTAATGGGCTGGTGGTTCTCATTGGCCAGGCTGCTCTCCGTCTTCTGGATCTCCTGATTGAGCTCCTTGCTCAGCTCCTTGCTCAGCTCCTTGCTGGGGAGCCGCCGTTTCCGGCGCATTTTCACCTTCTTCTTCTCATCGTGACCCTCCGCGCTCTCGGTGCTGGGCCCGGCCGTGGGGGAGCTGGAGCGGGAGTGGTCGCTCTCCCTGGTCTTGGGGGGCGCCTCCGGCAGGTCGTCCTCCGGTTCCTGCTTGAAGCGCCGGAG